GACGTTGGGCTGTTGGCGTAGACCTTATCTTTCACGTGGCCCCAAAGGAAGAAGTCGCAAGGTGTTAAATCACAAGATCTCGGTTTCCAATTGTGATCACCTCTTCGAGAGATAACACGGTCAGGAAACTTTTCCCGTAAAAGAGCAATGGTTTCGTTGCTTGTGTGGCACGGAGTGCCGTCTTGTTGAAAGTAAACGTTGTCCAGATCAATACCATCCAACTCCGGCCATAAAAAATCATTAATCATATCTCGATGGCGCAATCCATTCACCGTAAGTGTTGATCCAACCTCATTTTCGAAAAAGTAAGGTCCAATGACCCCGCCGGACCATAAACCGCACCAAACAGTCACACGTTGAGGATGGAGAGGCTTCTCAACAATAACTCTTGGGTTTTCCGAGCCCCAGATGCGACAATTTTGCTTGTTGACGTAGCCTCCTAGGTGGTAATGGGCCTCATCAGTCAAGATGATTTTTCGATGGAATTCCGGATCATTTTCATGCATTTCAAGTACCCAATCAGCAAAGACACGACGTTGTTGATAATCGACCGGCTTGAGTTCTTGTGTTAACTGAACTTTATAAGCCTTAAGACCCAAGTCTTTATGCAAAATACGGTGTAATGACGTTTGTGGAATGCCCAATTCCAAAGAACGACGAGGAATGGACAAACCTGCGTTTTCTTCAACGCTTTGGGCTACAGCAGCAATATTCTCAGTTGTTCTTGAGCGACGTGCACGGGTTTTATTCTTCACATCACTAACTTGTCCCAACAGCTCGAATTTTTCAACCAATTTCTGTATTGCGGTCCGACAAGGTGCTTCACGACGACCAAAAAATGCTTTAGTTTTGCGAACTGTGACTGCAAGATTTTCACCATTTTTGTAGTGAATTTTAATAATTTCAATGCGTTGTTGAAGTGTGTATCGTTCCATTTTTAGTAATGGCGTAGTTTCTACTTGTCAAATGTCAAAAAATAAAAGCTTCAAAAGCGACAGCTACCGAAATACCGGGTGATTCAAAATAACACCTCTTGTTGGAAAAGCCTGTATATGTATAATACAGATTAATAGACTATTAAAAAAATAAAGGAAATTATGGATTTTTATGACGTTCTAATTAAGGGTTCTAATAAAGAATCTAAGAAATATATTTTTTAAGCATTGGTTACATACACACGAATGACTGCACGAATGGCGTTATGATTTAAACGGCCTCCTCGCCACTTTCTACAGCGCTGAGTATTGTGGGTTCGATGCGCACATGGGAGAACACTTTGTTTTTCTAGAACACGCAAAGTGTTGTCTCGTGTTTGGGAATCGAGCCTACAAGACTCATCGCATTTCTTGAGGTGTATGCATCTTCAGTTGTGAAAACTTGAAATAACATGTTTATTCCATAAAGTTTTTAGTTTGAAATTAAGAAAACATCTTGATGGGTTGATTTAGAGTGGCGGATTGGAAGGCCAGGACACAGGACCATTGTTGATATTGATGACATTGTAAAATGAATTTAAAATGATCTTTTTATCTTGTTGCCTCATGATTAGTATGTCAAATTCTAATTAATTATGTGACATCCTAATTTGTGACCAGTCTTAAATATATTTGAGCTCAACAGCGTTTAATAAACAAAACAAAGTGTATTTGCCAACTGTAACTATTTTTTTAAAACCATCTACATTATATTTATCTAATGCAAAGCTAGACAACGATTTCCAAGTTTTGCGGAGGCGGGTGTAGCGTGGACGCGCCAACAGATCGTCCCACGAGCGGCGCCCGCGCATGTGCCTCGCACCTCATACCCGCCATTTCCAAAGATTAAACAAATTTACATGGATAAGAATTTGGTGGCAAAAGATAATTAACATATTTTATTTATTTATGTGTGCACTGAGGTTACAGTTGTATTTATAATCCTTTTTTTAGCCGAAAAGGTATAAAACAAACAATTACACACATTATACAAATATACATCCATACATAAATATACATATAGAAATACACATAAATACGACGAGATTTACCTTTCGATTGTAAATAACTAAAAATTAAATTAAGTTATGATTAATACATTTTTAAATTTTATCAATTATGAGTGTCTAACTGTTTTTTTTTAAATAATACCATAATACTATTGTACTATACTAATTTATATCAAATAGCAGCTTTTTATCTGAAATAAAATATTAATTAAATAATAACATTAACCTTACAAGTATTTCCGTTTTCATCATAGTTCCACAACTTGTAAATGACGTCATTTTAAAAATAAAAAATAAAAGAGTGGCACTGGAGTGCCGACCGAAGTGATTTTTTTTTTAAAGTTCCAACATGAACACATATCTATGTTCAGTACGTATATACACAATATATGTTTATATTATAAATGTATTTCAACCCAAACTCAATTCTCTTATAAACATTATTATATCATTTATTACCAAAAAGAAAAGTACAAAATATGTGATACATTGCCGGTGGCCCCACACTAGGCAAGCCTGTGATGTGGGTGCCAGTTGCGATTACACATTTCGCTATACATTATTGTTCAGTATACAATTACATCGTCGTTTTCAATTTAAAGTATACAGTGTTACTTGCTTATATTTGAGACAGCAATCTATTTCCTCCGAATATGCGTTCGGAAGAAAACAATTGCCGTAAAAACGAGTTGGCAACAAAAAAAAAGATAAAAAGGTGAAAAATGATTAAAAATCAAAAACAATAATAATGGCAAAACAGCGTTGTTAAATACATGCATGAGGTTATTTTATAGGTATTAATATTATGAAAGATAAAAATAACTAAATTTGTGTGTCTATATTGTTTTAGGGTACTTTATATGTTATGTGTTATATAATAAATTATTCTCAAAGAATAATGCGCAATATTTATGCCACGTGTGCCAACAGACCTTCTGGGCCTCAATTCTGCTATTTTATGTTCACGCCAAGCCAGTGTCATATCACTGACACGCTATTGAGATGCCATCGAGTGGCCATTGGCATCGGTATAAATATCGGTAGTCTACACTAACTCAGTGTCTTCACAGTGGCGATGGAATGGCAGTGGCTCATCAGTGGTGATATCAAAATGATTGCCATATTTGGAGAAATAAATTTATCTTATAATTTGAAAATGAATTACGTTTTTTTAATATTGGTCCATAAAGTTGTTATGTATTTATCATATTTATTGATACAAATGTATAAACTACAACGACATAATACACCGTAATTAATAGAATTATCGTTGCTATTTTTGTAATTGTTTAATTAGTGTAGACCACCGATATTTATACCGATGCCAATGGCCACTCGATGGCATCTCAATAGCGTGTCAGTGGTATGACAGTGGCTTGGCGTGAACATAAAATAGCAGAATTGAGGCCCTGTATAGTCGTATGTCAAAGAAAGCAACCATTGTGTAATGTTAAGTTTAGCCTCCCCCACAGAACATAGCGTTATATCGCAGAGCTTTGTAATTCTGTTATATATATAGAAATCTTTGTATGGACTAAAACGTCTAGCAAAACTTGTTTTGACAGTAGGCAATGGCAATTTGTAAACACGGCGTTCAATCAATTTACTGTGTTCCTCTGTGTTAACAACAGTACGATGAACTTTCAGTATTGTTCGGAGGAAATAAAGTTGTCGCTCAGTTAAGACCTTACATTCTTTATAGAGCTCATTAGTTGGATACCTAAAGGGTCTTTCCAGCACGACTTTTAAAACAGTACCAATATATACTTATACACATATATGTATATATATATGTATATATATATATATATATTTACAGAGGTGTCGGTAACGGTAACACTGTAGTAAGTTCAATGGTTTTTCTCATCTAAAAAAATATACTCTTTTGTTTGATGTTCAAAAACGCCCAACGCGCCTAAACAAGTGTTCACTTTAATAATGTTGTAATATCATTAATGCTACTAAACAATATTTACTCTGAACTGTGTTGAACACAACCGTAGCCATGTCAAAATCTGTTCCACTACTCTTACAACAACTTTAACGGGCTTTAAAAGAAACTACGTTCCCAAACTTTACATAACTGTAGGATGCTTTTTGATACCCGTTTATTTAGGGCTTGCTTTTAGTCTTTGCCAGTAAAAAACTTCAATGGAGTCAAGTTAACCTCCGCTTCAATGCTACACCATATCTAAGCCTCATCCGTTCATCCAGACTGGTAAATTCTGCAATGCATTGAATGAATCTTCATACATTGATATGGTGAATTGCACTAAGGTGCATTCAACCACCATGATTCTGTTACTAAGAGATCTATTTCTCTGTTCTAACTCTTGTTACCATAAGAAGAGACATACAACAGCAATAGTTTATCACTGTGTCCTGAGTCCTCCTCGGAGTAGGGTGCCTGAGACCGGCAGTCGGTTTGGTTTTTAGTGGAAACGCCACATACTCCTGGCTCCTGCGTGTCCGAGGAGCCGGAGATCAGAAGGGATGTTCCACCTCGTCAACAAAAAAAGGTTCAAGGAGCTTACCCATTTGGGCGGGCTTGATTTAAGTAAACATCTGCTATTTCATTTAGATTAAATCAAATAGTAAATGTGACTGGTATGACATGCTCTTTAATAGTGATATTTAAAATATAATTAAATCAATGATGTAGTTGACGGCAGGCAAGGGGATTAAAGGACGCCGACACATACATTTTGATGCTATCTTAATCCCCGCCCACACTTCTTCGCACAATGGGGCTTATACTTATTTTTTGTTTACAAAAACATCAAACAATAATGTTATGTCATGTAACGTTTGATTGGTATAAATACTACAATGCTGGAGAATCAGAAAAAAGAACCTAATTTACATTATACAATGAGGAATTGCGGCGTTTGAAAAATTTATACATTATATAGTTAGGTCGATAAAGAAACAATAAAATTTTGGCATATGTTACTTTTTGCAAATCGTTGAAATTAAGAAATCTCATGATATGCTTTCTTTTTTTTTCAGATACGAAATGGGCCTCCAAGAAGTATTAATTTTTGCGATCAGCGTCGTCGGAACCATGGGCTATATCCCCCATGGTTCTATTGGGGAAAAGGTTTGCATAACATTCGGATAATACTGTTTTATTTTATAAGGATATTGAAATTAAAAATAAGGCTTACAAACTATTTTCACAAAATAAACATCTTATTCGTGGCGGTCACTGAAAGTTTTTAAAATAGGGCAGTAAGAAATACAACCGATGAAAATGTATTTAAATATCGAATTAGAAACTCTTTGGGAATCTTTAGATGTTTAATGATTTCATTTCAGATCAAATAAAAAAGTTCAGATACCCTGTGAATAAAGAAGTGATGCCAATTAAAACTACGCCTTGGCGTGTTCATAAACAAAAACAAGCACACACGTACAACACGTACTACGCCTTGTCAGTCAAAACATCATCAAAAATTTCAACAATATTTACAAGTAAAAATGCCGAATTATGTTAGTGAAAGAGTGTAAAATCAAACAAGAGATGCATAGTAGGACAGAATCGCATTTCTCACTTAAGCGTAGAAACCAATACTTTCAATAAAATAAAATTATAATGGCCCACACGCACATTTTCATAAAACCAGCGTCATGTCGTTCTTCGTAAAGTTCCATCTTGCCTTTTACATTTGATCTGAGGATATTTTTATAAATTGGCGGCAACTTAATAAGGGTCTAACTTGCATCGAAATGGATTAGACTAAAATTTCGCTTAATTATTTATTACGACTTTCGTTGTGATCTTACTCAACAACAATGTTAAGATAGAATTTGATGGGCTTTTCATTACGAATCCCATCGTACTACTGTTTACAACAGGTTTAATGAGTTTAAATGTGGTCGAAGGAAAGTCACTGATGATTCTCGAAAGGGGACGTCCCCTTCTAGTCTACAGCGACTAGTAAGTTCTGTGCCGCTAATGATGACATATCAACTCCAACCGGTCATCGGCAAGTGGGCAGGGCGGCAGCACGGAACTATTTTCTTCCGACTGATACGGGTCCTTTCCCGTGCACGGCTGCTTCGGGAACTACTTGCACCCAGTCGCTGGGAGAGAACTGAGTCCCGCCTGTCACTACGCGTCACAGCGTCGGGTCCTCATTGCAGTCACCGGAGAGGATCTCTCGTTACCGGCCCTCATTCACTCCATGGCCGAAGCGAAAAATTGCTTTCAAAAGTATAGAAGGGCAGAAGCCAACGGCAAAAGATGATTGATTCTTTAGACGGACTGGTCGGTCGGCTGCTATGGTAGATTGATATGTCAGTCATTGTCTACCAGTTGTCTTGGCAAATGTTAGACAGCAGCGCCCACGAAGCAGGATCCTCTTGCACCACTACAACGCTCCAGTTTATTCAGCCAGACGGACTATCGAATATTTGCCTATCAAAGGTGTGAAGAAGAGCTAGAGAGCCATCCTCCTTACAGACCTGACCTGGCACCTTATGACTTTTATTTATTTTGTCAAATAAAAGATAAACTTAGAGGAAATCGTTTTATGAACCCTGAAGCCGTTGCTACGTTTGAAAAAGCGGTGGAAGAAATCCCTGAAGAAGATAGAGCTTACTACTTTTGCAATGTTTCCATCGCATCACGAGCCGCTTTATGGGTATAGTGCTTAGAAAGGAATAGAGACTACTTCGAAAAATAATAAAAATATTAACAGGCTTCTATATCATTCCGTTTTCTATTTCCTAAAAACTTTCAGTGTGACCCCCCGTATAACTCTACAATAGACTGGTATGTTAATGTTTAAACGCTTTAAAAATGAAATCAGACTGCATGCATTCGTCAGAAGTTTAATGTTTATAGTCAGTTACTCAACAATTACATTATAAATATCGTAACTCAGAACTTAGTAATCCAGTAAAGGTTTAAAACAAGAATGATGCACTGAATAATAGCGTGTGAGAGCTCTTTTTTCTCCGTTGCCCTTATATCATTAAATAATGAAATTTATAATTTTCATTTAAATAAAGTCACAAATTAGTCTAATATTTACGAAAGATGTTTAATAACTTTTTCTTCAAATCGTAATTGTACCTATATATCCTAGGATCATATGCTAACGGAGGCTTTGCTACGTGAGGTAGTCGAAAGAATGGGCAAGGACTTCAACGAGGCTGCTTCCAGCTACCTCGACTTCCCTTCAAGCGAACGCCATCTCGCTCTGATGGCCCGGGCAAACAAAGATCTGGGGAACGAACAGCTGGATTACGACTCTCTGATCGACGGCAACCCCAACCCCAGCTTACGCGACCAGGAATACCTGCAGCACAGGTTAGTTTTTCCTTTATATACAGATAACAACGCAGCTGTTGTTACAAATGTATAAAACGTCTTTATCGTTTGTATACTACGCAGAAAATCAAGTAACAATTTTTTTTTGGTTACGTTCCTCCGAAAGGAAACGAGAATATTCAGGCCACTTCGCTTTCTGTCTCCCTATTTTGCCACCTATCTAGAAGCTGTTTCGGAAGAATGCTTGTAGATATAATTAAAACGCAAAATTAAACGTGAAAGTACTTAAGTATGTCTGCGGTGCCTTAAAGCCGTAAAAATCAAGCTTCTAAATCAGTAGTAAGATACAGACATCGGTTATCAAATGCTTATAGTTTCATCGATATTAACTTAAAAGGTACCAAGGTCCATTAAATAAAATCATAAGATTAGTCAAACAGTAAAGTCTCAAAATAAGTTGGAAAAGATAAAAATATATGTATGTAAAAAAAAATAGTATGCTGTTATATGACATAAATCATATTTTTTTCGAAAACAAACTTCCATGCGAAAATTAATTGTGAGCTTTCTAGGTGTGGGACATCATTTATGTAATAACCAAGTTAAGTAAGTCTCTCTCAAATAAAAGCGATGCCCGATGCGATGCGAGATTTGACTTACTATCGAAGGCAAACCTAGCCCCATCTTGATCGATCAAGTTTTAATTAAGCGAGATTACAATGAAAGTTCTATTTACAATATTTAAAATACTTAAACCAAGTCAAGTGCTCTATAGCGAGGTGTTCATAATGAAGACCAAACAATGGAAACAGCCTATTATTTGTTAGTGTTCTAATTGTAGAAGACAAATCAAGTCTAGACAACAAATTAGAACGAATTAACAACATTAAGATTGACGTATAGCACGTTTAGACAATAACATTACAGTGTGGCTCTGCCACAAGCTACACTATTTTTAGCTTACCTCCATTTATTTCACTACTGGCTTCATACACATTAGACTTTATCGCGTATAAAGCGTAGCAGCAAGATAACGCTACCGAGAAAGAGCTTTTCACAAAATAATGTCAATAGAACTATAAAACTGCTAGTAGGTACATAAATATATTAGAACAACAAGTGAGTAAATCTAATAAAGTAAACTTTAACTTTTAGTGACTGCTATCTATGTTGTAAGGTAATTTTTAAATTAAAAAAACGAAAAGCTCATTTGTAGTTTTGTAGCATCGGTATCGTCTATACTCCACTGCCATTATATTTTAAGAAGTAATAAGGCTACAATCGATTTTACCTTACGTCTAAGCTCACTGCACGGCTTAATATCTACTAGATTAATAGTGTAATGTATATCCTACACAGCAGTAACAGTTTCATTGCATTTTATAAAATAACCGAATTGCCGTATTGACTCCTCTAATACTTATGTTTATTTGCTGTCCAATATAAGCCGATTATATAAATTACGTGCATTTTAGCATGGCCAATAATTTATTTTAAAAGTGCAAATATACAATATAAGCTAACAGGTGAATGAAACCATGCAACTTTCTGTAAATTATCCAGCTATGAGTTTGCAAAACAACTATTAGACAATTGTTGTTCTGTGTATAAATTTTTGTATTAACTTACAAAGAACATCCCTTATATTCGTAGTTCGCTATGGGGCCACCAGTACGTAACCGGTGGCGCTGGAGAGGGTGATCAGGGGATAAACCGCCAGATGGTTAAGACCGACGCGGTCCTGCCAGCCTACTGCAACCCGCCTAATCCTTGCCCAGTCGGATACACAGGTTTGTTGTCCCGTATCTCATCCAAATCGAATAAATAGTATGAAATATACACCAGCTTGACATGAAAAAGACGTGATTTATCTTCAATATTAAGTGATCCTTTTACATCAATAAAAAATCTGATGTGACAGAGGACCAAGGGTGCATCAGCGAGTTTGAGAATACAGCCGCGTTTAGTCGTGAATATCAGCTGGCGCAGCGCTGCATGTGCGATGGAGAACACATGTTCAGCTGCCCTCCTGACTCCGGTTCTGAACTTGACCTACGCTTTCCAGAGCATCACAAAAGTCTTGTTGCAAAGAAATATAAACCTGCTGTAAGTATTTTCTAGACATTTATAATTTTTGATTAGGAGATTTTCTTGTAATAATATTTTAAAATAAAATATTGTTTTCTTTATGTATCTTTGAAGAACATGCTATAAATAAAAATAAGAAAGAGTAAGATCTTCAGATAACTTAGTTTTTTCATAATTATAGCATAATTCCAAAAGTATAATGTTTTTTCTAACTTTTAAATGAACTATTCCTACAATAGTGTAGGAATAGTTTATAAATAGTTAGTTGTTGAATAAAAACACCTAAGAGTTAATTAAGTTTAATTTAGATGTGACAAAGTGACTTCGTAAACTGAAGATTTTACAGGATTCATTTAATACTTAAACAACATAATTTAAATTTCCTTTTTCAGGAAGAAAATCCCTATTTGACGGGTGAACGTTTACCGATTGCAGCTAAAAAAGGTTTTGATGTCAATATGTACTAAGTCTCAATCTTAGAACTGACTATTGAATAGATCATAGTATATTAGTTAGTGTCTATTTGTACCGTACCAAAAGTGGACATGACGTCACGTTATCTTCACTCTTTGTTGCGGATTTACTATCTATATAATAGTTCTGTTACAACCTCATTTAGGATAAGTATTGTACTACACGCGTTTAGATAGAACCGAGCTTTGTACAAAAAGTCTACTAGTGATTCTCGAATTTTGACTTAAAACCATCGTAACGTACAGAAGTTTAGACAAAATTGGAGTGGAAAGTTAGGGTTTAAGAATGTAGATGGTAATTCTATATTTTTGTATTTCAATGAAAACGTATCGTCTATTTTTTTAGTTATGCTCTTGATACAAAACTTTCAAGAATAAATATAAAGCTATAAAAACATAATACGGTGCGCTAATGGACACGTAAAAGCTCAAAGTAGGTAGAATGTGAATACAATTGTAATAACTTAAAATATAATTTGTGAAAATTATAAACATTGAAGCTGTGAATTTCGTTAGCTGTACATAAAAATGTTTTTGTGTTTAGTTAGCTATGTAATTTATTTAATAACAGTTATAAAATTTATATTATGCACTTATTAGTTACACTAGTTTCTTCATCATTACTATCAAATTGTCTGAGTGTTTTTAATTTAGCATAGCATTGAATTTTGATAGCATTATTTTAACTTGCTATTTAACTTTCAGAAAAATAACTTACTTGGTCTTAATTAATCTTGCAGATGTTCTTAAAACTTTATAACGCACATATTTACTAAGACATGTAAATATTAAAAACATAAAAAATGAAAAACAATAAATTTCATGCTTAGTATATAAATAATTATTTAATTAGATTATTATCAGGATAAACAATATGTAAATTTACAGTGATACCGAGTGAAAATTCAAACAAATCCAAAACATCTTAAGTCACGATTCACATAACACAAATATTATAAACTTGAATGAACAAGTTGACACTGTCTAGGCATTGTTAATAAATATATATTTAAATCGTGAGAGGGAGGTTTATTATATACTTAACCAATAATGTAACAGACACTATTAGGTGAAAAATTAACTGTAAGTTTAATATTTTAAGTTATGTACATATAAAACAATTAATACGTGTGGAAAAAGTCACGAAATTATGTAAGTCACAAAATTCTTTAAGCGATGTATATATAAAGAAAGAATTAATAGTAATCTAATTAAATACTGAAATGTCTAATAAGTAGTGTACATATAACAAGAAATGAGTGCAAAGTTCATCAAAAAGTAGATAGCGGTAACTGCATAAATAGGTGTACAGCGATATGAACAACTGAAACATTCACAAAGCTTGAACATACTTTCTCTACTGTACTTTTACTGTTTGTAAAGTTCAAACAATATATATTCAAAAGTAAAAAAAAATCAAAAGTAAAAATTATACAAATTTATTATCATTCATAGAAATCAAATAAATTAAAATTAACAAATTTCAATATTTATGAATATAAACAATGCGGTTAAAATATTTTTTTATTAATCGAAATTATCATTTCCATCTAACACATTGTTGTTTAGATATCAACACCTACGAGCATACATCTCATTATTTCAAAGTAATTTCCTGTAAAAGGTTATTTTGAGATAGTGTACCTATATAAAAAATAAGCAACTAAAATCATAAATTACTAAAATAAATGTCTTCCTTAGTATTTATATATAAAATATTTATTTAACGTAATAATGATAAATATAAGAATACTTAAATACTACGTTTCGTTTAATACCATATAACCTTCTCATTAATATAGGAATTACCTATTAATTAAACATTCATGATAATTAAGTTAAAGATAAATTAAGTTAATATAAGTAAGTTGGAAACGAGTGTACATTAAGAGTGAAACTATAGCTGACCCAAGAAAAAACACGTAGCTGTAAATATTTTGTCTGTAACTGTAAATTGCAAAAAACGGTTGAAGTGAGTAATAGTGAGTAATTTGAAATAATAATACCTTCTATTAGTGTATAACTTATTATTATGTATAACAACTTATACATAATCAAAATATTGGAATATAAATTAAAACAGCATGTTATGCTGCAGAATGAGAACAAATAAAAATATATTTCGACTACTTGCGTTAACATACTGATGACACGTTTTAACGCTAGAGGAGAAATTTCAGGCAGAATTTTCAAGGATTAATTTGCATTTATAGTACCCGATAACTTCTTTCAAGATGAGATTGGCAAAGTTTGATATTGAACATCGTATTTTGACATTGCTCTTAATACATAGTCACAAGTCACAGTATATTAAAGCAGAATTGATTGATTTTTTTATAGGTTCATACAAAATTTGAAAGACAATTGCTTTAGTATGCGACGCACACATACAAATTATTAGAATTAATATTAAAATAACACAGTTATAATCTAGTCTTATAAATAAGTATGGAAGTAAAGTACGTACGTACTTAGTCTAGTCATTATATAAGTAACCTGGCGTACAGCCGTGCGAAATGAGTCACTCTAGTCAATCTCGTAGTGTGTACATAAGTAGCATTTAAAATATTTAATTTATTTCAATGGAAATAATGTATAAGAGTTTTAAGCGTATTTTATTTTCTAATAGTTAGATATCCGGTTAACAAGAATAATACATTTTTAATGGGAAGTAATAAATTTCGCTTAGAGTAGACTTACTTTCAACATTTCAGAAACGAAACCACCCAGGGTAGACAACTAGGCAACTGTGAAAAACTAAATACAACCAAATTATAAAAAAAAAAAAAATTAAGTAAACCAACGAAATAACTAAAAAATGTTATTTCGTTGTGTCGTATGCCGTAGAAGAGGTAAACCAGCAAAATCCCTCTATAACCTGCTGAAAGATCTTGGTTTGCCAAGAGCTTCAGTAAGCTCTTTTCTTGAACGAATATCCAAAGCGGCATTGCTAGGCTCGTATGGTAAGGTACAGTAAAATTAGTCTCGAGAAATTTTTGCATATGTAGTGGTGTGTATATTACTCAGATCTTAGAGCGCGTTTCCACTATATCGTTCTGGCCTATACAAAAATGTTTCGATATCCTAACATTACTATTTAATTTTATACTTATCCCTAGCAACACTCTGATTTTTGTTTTCATTAAAAAAAAGTTTTTATTTTAAAGAAAAAGGTTTTGACTTTATAAAAAAAAAAGTTTGTGTGCGATTCACACACGATAGAAGTGAAACTTCAAAGAGGAGAGACCGATATTTAAATTTTTTTTTTCTTTTTTTCCTTTCATCTAGGTTTTTAAAACTCCGGGGGGTCTACGGGGGGTTCAAAATTTTTGTTATTTTTGGCCTAGGACGCACCGTTTCCGAGATATTTCAATCTAAAGCAAAAAATCGTCACTTGATAGTGGAAAGTGGAAACATTCACAAAACCAGAATAAACCAGTTTACGCTGTCCGTACCATACACTACTACAAAGGCAAAAATTTCTCCAAGCTAATTTACCTGTAGAGGGGGTAACATAGCAGAAAGTGGAGGTGAGCGCTGACGCGTCGCAAGGAGTGCTCCCTTAACGTATTCCTAGTCGCATATGTCGCCCCCATCTATCACGCGATGGACCCTGCATGCGCACGGTAAATCCATCGAACGCTAAGAAATAGGTCTATCATGGGCAAAAAGCATAAAGTAATAAATACTTTAGCACATTATTTCCATTGAAATCAAAATATTATCGTATGTTTATGAGAATATATTTTTGTATAAAAATACAAGAAAAACCAAACATAAATATATAAATAATATTTTTATAAATCAAATAAATCTATTTTTATAGATGTGACAAATAATACCTCGTTTAAAATAGTCATAGGGGCAATGCATACATTACGTTAAACGTTAAGTGTGACAATCCTGTCCACTGTGACAAGAGGTTGGCGGTATCCCGAGTTTCGTAACGTTATAACACTATTTCAAAACCTAATATATCGAACTAATTAAATTCATAGTAAGTGTGTAATTTTTTCAAATATTTGATTTGGTGTTGATTTTTGTAAATATTTATTTCGGTTCTGATTTTATTAAAATTAATTTATAACAGAAAGAAAATTAATTTCGTAACTATTTTAATTTAATAATATCTAGATTATATTTAAAATTGAAAATATGTGTCATTACACCAGGGAGGGGGAAGTCTCACAGATGAGACCAGCTGTGACAAGGATGGAGAGAGGGGACGTCAAAAAACCATGAAATTCGTATGACGTAATTTATGGATATCCCCAAGAATAATCATATAGTGATCTAAGTAGCAGTGTTGATAAAATGTACCTATTAATATAAGAACAACCTAATGTCCTGACAACTGTGACATTACTCAGAGTCGCCTAGTTCCTAATTGTAATTCAATTGGCATCTATTTATATATATTTACATGTTTTTGCTAAAAGTAAGTTAAAAATTACCTAATAGTTTCTTATGTGAGTTTCGAAACAATATAAACATTAATAATGATATTCTACCACATTAACACAGCGCCATCTATTTCCAAACTAAACAGAGCTTGTACTATGGGTATTAGACAACTTATATAAATAGATATACACTACTCTTTGTAAATACTTACGAGTACGTATTACATTGCCATCAACGTACCATATATCCGGATATATTATCTTATTTCTTCTTCAGGACATTGTTATTTTTAATTATTTATGCACGTGAATTTCTTCAGGTCACTCCATATCCGATTTTATTTGTATGCAAATATTAAGCAAAAAAACATACCCGATTCACATAAGCAAGTTTTTCGTTCAACAATAACAATACCTAGTAATAATAATACAGAATACATTAATAGATTTAACCAAGATACCTCTGACTTACAATATAAATAAAAAAATGTTTAATCATAATTAGTCTAATTGAAAAATAACATGTGTTAAAACAAAAACATATACATACATAGTATATACATATTTATATATTACGGGCCTGTTGGTCTA